TTCACTCGAAATGAAAGTAAGCTCAACAATTATGAAACAAGAGATTCCTCGAAACCCAACTTTTATTCGCATATTTAAAGATATGCAGTCCACTTGTGGAACAACCTCGTTTCGCACCAAAAGGAGAAATGTGTTTCATCATCTTAAACCGAAATACGGTGAATACATCACACACAACTGGTTTACTGGTGGACTCGGAACTCTGCTTATCTACGAAAAAATAAGTAATGTAATAGATTTTTGTAGCAAAAATACGCTTGCTTCTTCGACATTCCCACCAAAGAATGTGATACGGAAAAAAATGGCTTTTTTGGAATTCCCATCTGCCCTGTCATTCAAGGTCACTCGTGGCAATGTGGCTGGCTGGTTAACGTGTCAAGCTCATACGCTGCACTATCACGGTTCGACTCCCGCTGGGATTGTTGCTAAGACCGATGCGAGGTCAAAACTGCAGTCCACTTTTGTCTGGATTATAACAACTTTTGGGAAAGCAAGGTTATGTGAATTTCATTTGAAACGTCAGCTCTACTCATATCATTATGATAAAATTCAACTACCAGTCTTTTATTACCTTAAAACGAAATAGGGTGAATATATCTTATATAAGTGATTTACTGGTAGTCTCGAAACTCTGCTTATACTCGAAAAAATAAGAGATGTGGAGTCAAAAACGTGAGACTTGACATGCTCTAATTGCCGCCTAGTCTCGGTAACTTAACTTAATGAAAGGGATAAAAATACATCGTAGAGCTTAAGACGAATTTCCTTAATTTCTTCAGGATTTATAATCACTTATCTTTGTTATCATGTTTAGTGGACCAGTCATACAATCAATGGTAGCCAAGAAAGAAAATTAGGACATGTAGCTGAGCATTCTGCCAAATAATAGTGAATATCCTGCATAAGAGACGTACAAAGTTCTATAAAGATTGTATGGCGGTAGCAACAAAGCTTCGTGGACTCAATGCAGTTCAAAACATGCCTTCTTGTCAGCTTTCAAGGAAGACTAGATAACTAGTGGGACGATGTGAAGTAGAAACGGAAAACTGACTCACTTTCTGGTTCTATCTAATATTAGGTAATACTTTTCTTTAATCAAATGTATATAGACCACTCCTTTCGTTGTATTGAAGTAGTTTGCCTTTGTTTTTGCATCTTGGTCATCTAGGAATACCTAGATGAACGCACCTTTCCGGAGTCCATAGTATGCATGCTAATTTCGCAGCCGGACCGTGGACTTGATGCATTCACAGACTTTTCGCCGACATAGTAATCGGCATCGTAAGTGAGCCATGCCATTCTTAACACCACACTACAACTCGTCAAATGGATAAGTGAAGTCGATCCTTTGACCAATTTTCTGCTAAACAATCGTTGCATCTCCCCTTCTGCCCTGGGCCAATCACCAATCCTATATCCTCGTATCAAGCCTTCATTATCATTATTTTTTACTTGATTATGTCGATGTGGTATGGTGCGCCTTTTTGAAATAAGGCGGCCTCATGGTGCTATGAAACTTTACTTTGCTTTGCTTCTCAAAAGCTTTTCTCTTGACCTTGTCAAAATCATCCAAGATGGGATTTAAAACTGAGTTGTGCGTATGGTGGCGGCATAGTAACACTCCGCAATACAGTCACCGGAGCTAGATGTGTGAATCGTAGATGTGACATTCAAGGAAAGCCAGAGCACTTTCTAATCACATTAAAAGTGGTATAGATTAGGGGGTAGAAAAAACTATGATTTACTACTTGACCAAATTGTGCACATCAAGCCCAAGAAGATCTTGTAAGCATAGCTCATGAATAGGAAAACATGGATAAATTACAAACATTAATTATAATAAAGAACTAATTTGAAAAAAGCTTGTTCAAAGATTTGAGAACTTTAATAAGCCACGATCAGTTAAGTAGCATAATAAAATTTCAAGGCAGGTGGATAATAATCGTGCTAGGAAACGTAAGAATTTTAGTATAAGAGGACGCCGGAAAGTGGTAAACTTCTTCAAGGCATAAATAGAGGTTTCCTCTGATAAGGTCCCATCAAAAGGCCCAAACCCAGCTCTATAAATTAGTACTCTCTTCAGTAAATTTTAAAAAATATTAGATTATGACATAGTACCTATGCTTTCTCAAAGAAGTCCCAAATATTTTCTCCAATGGATAGCCATTTAGAGACACCATAGAAGAATAAGAAAGTTGATTACTTGGTTGGGAGAGTAAAACGAAATTATCAAACATTATTGAGGGTAGACGGAAGATAAAAAGTATTAACTATAAGTAGATAGCCTTTTCGCAAACATCAACTACAACTTCAAGCCAATTTAAAAATCCCCATCACCCAACATCGTCAAGATATCCAAACATAGTTTCACTGAAAGTTGGGCAAACATAAGATAAGTTATGAAGAGAAGCTTTTATGCGGGTGCACCATCCACTTTTCATTTATAAGTAGGATTCTACTCACATTAGTGTGGTAAAATTTGTACTACCAGTCCTTCATCATCTTAAACAAAATAGGGTGAATACATTTCATATACCATTCATTTTGTTTAATGTTTTAGTGATTTTTTTTAAAATGATGGTTCCTGGTTCTGACGAGGCTTATCAAATGACATACGAAGGCTAAGACAGGATTTACTATTCTAAGCAAATTCCTACACCAAATAGCTCCAAGGTAATCCTCCTTCGTCTTCCAATTTGGTCAATTCAGGGATACCTTCCACCCGCCTTTCCAAACGTACTGAAAGTTAGGCCAACATCAACCGAGTAGCCAAGTTGAATCTTGACGACCTGGTGTTTATTAAGAAAGACTATACCACATTTGGCATTGAACATTGGAAGCGAGTGTAACTTGTTATTTGTAAATATAGGCTGATAAATAGGGTTCTATACTTCTGCCCTCACTAATTAAGGTATGGACTAGTCGGTTCTTCTTCAGAAACAGGCTACCTTATACATTTTGTCTTCTTTTTTATGGCAGTATTCTTATCTCCCTCCCCATTGGGCACCCTCGCGCTTCTGCAGGCAGGGGGCTTTATAAAACGGAGAGAGGTCAACTTCGACGTGAATTGTCTGCTAAAACTCAGGATGCATATGCTTCTGTTGTCCCGTACTGCGACTGCGATTGTTATGAAATGTATTTTAGTGTTATTTTGTAGGAAATCGGCCACCATAATACATTCAAGGTGGTTTAAGGACCGATAATCGTGTTTTTCCCACAATGCTATGATATGAGTAAGTCTTACTACTTTATTGAATTGGAATTGGCCTTACCTCCTAAAATGCTTTCTACTAC